TCTGTTTTTATACAGCATCAGCTTCTGTGTATTGTACTTGCAGTTTTAGACTATGACTCTTAAAAGTTAAAATGCGTATTTTTTCATGGATTTGAAACAATCTTGAATCCATTTTTGCACAGATTTTTTTTTAGCATTTCACTGGTTGGCATGGTATGTATTTTCTTCTGTTCAATCATCATGCTGCTTTTTAATGGCAAGGAAGAACAATAATTAATATCTAATTACACTACAGGGTAAGCAAGAAATGACCAGGAGAGACTGTGCATTAGCTTTGTTTTCCTGTCTGTTTAATATTTTCAAAAGCCAGTTTTGGTCACTCTCTTCTTCCAGAGTAAGATATTCCTTAACTGTCTGATTTTCATTTCTTAGATTTTTTTTTCTACACGGTTAGTTTTTAATTCATGAATGCACTCCATGCTTTGCCATTGTGGCTTCTCAAATATATATATATATGTAAATATATGAATATATCATGTCATGGATTTGATTCACCGTATGTGTAAAGCAGAGATAAAAAGAGTAACCGCTTGACTGTCAAACCCACTGACTTTGTTGTGCTGGCTTTATCTTACTGTAACTGTTTACAAAAAATGGAAAGGCATTGGTGGAGTGGCTCAGGATGTCTTTCTGGCTCAGCAACGTGCTTCGAAACGATTCACCTACAGCAGTCCCACTTTTGCAAAAATTTCATAAACTTTCCATGAGACTGCTCTTGCTGAATGTGCTATTCACAAAAAGGGCATGTGAAGAGACAGCCCCACGTTGCACAGAACAGAAATCTTAGCTTGGTGTAGCATGTTTCGAAACATGTGGAAGCAACTCAAGTACTTAAGTTGCTTAATACAGAATTGGGTAACATGGGGCACAGGTCCTTACCTCCTAGCAGAAGTTACAGGATTTCACAAGTGACTTCCCTAGATCACTTCCTGGCTGCCCCTGCTCTGCACAGGTACCTCCTCACACCTGCAATGCAGGATGCCATTATCACTGTGGAGGTCTTGGGCTACCTCACCTTGCTTTTAGGCACCTTAAATGTCTCAGTGTCTCCAACACATCCACACAGGGCCAACACATGACCTGCAGGAGAGTTATATAGTCTGGAGTGTTAAGTGAAAATCAGTTTTTCAATTTTGGACCCTCAAAGAGAACACCAGAAAGATCCTTTTAAGCACCTGAATCTTAACCACAGTGACCAGTTGTCTTTATCAGAATTGTATGAACTTCTGTGCATTAATTCAACCATTTCACCAAGATTTTCTTTTTAATCCTTTTGGGTTTATTACTTTCTAATGTGAAGAATATCAGCATCCAGTTATGCCTTTTGATAAAGATGAAGGAGTACAATGAAAGGCTGGTGTTAAAACACTTTTTGAGGCAATTTGCTCTCCCTGTATAAAGCCTCTAGCAATGGTAGGCAAATCAATGACCAATGCAGGAATAATACAGATTTTCAGTATCTAACTGCCACTTCTCTATGTGCAATGCATTTATTTTACTTTATTTATTACTGTGGTGCTTAAGGGACTTGTTCAGATGCATTCGGTGCTACCCAGACAAAAAGTAGCATCTTATGACTCTTGGTGTCTGCTATGAAAATGTTGATACTATGCCATGAAATGGTAGGGTTGCTGCATAGCAGGATTCCTGTAGTGCTGCAGTCACGCTAATAACTTCTTTGCATATCTGGCAGCTTTTGTGTATGCAAAGATACACATATAACTACTGAATACATTGTATGTAAACTATAGAAATAAACATTCATTGTTAGGAAAAGAAAAAAAGGAAGGATTCTCATCCTTTGCCAATGTTTATTGTTGTAGCTGCATGTACTGCCATGGAATTCTACATTTATACCTTGTACATCACCTGAGGACCCAGGTGGCTGAACTATAAAGGAAAAGTCTTAAGGCTTAAGAATACCATGCTGAATATTGAAGAAAATCAGCCAATTGATGGGCTAACTTCTCTATTTCAAGCCTATCAAATCTAATCTACCTGTCTATCCAGGACCTTAAATGACTTTCTATTACAACAGACCCTGTGCACCTTCCATCAGGGCATCTTCCAAGAGGCAGCTCTCTCTCAGTGCTTCCTTTCAGTCCGCAGCTGCCCTCCTTTTTTTCTGTCAGACTAGACATGACTTGTTCTATATGGTGTAGTTGTTCTGAGCTGCAGTGTTATTTGCGGGCAGGTGAGGTCAAGCAAACTAGGTCTTGCACCTGGCCCTGAGTTTTGTGGTCATGCTGATGGCTGGAGTCAGCTCACTGCAGGGAGAGCATGTGTCTTGTGCACTGCTGGTGTTTTAGTTGCAGAGCAGGAAAATACTAGAGCAAGTGGGGGGAAGGATGCTTTTGCTAGATGTGTTTCAGCAATGAGTTTGTGCAGTCTGTCCCACCGCTCCTTAGGAGAGCTGGGGAGGAGGAGAATAGTTGACTCAGAGGATGAAAGAAAGACCCCTAAAATCAGCTGGAGTTTAGCCTCTTTGGCCCTCATCAGATAAGTTAGATAAGTGTATGTGGGAGTGACATAAAGCAGATTTACAAAGATGGTAAAAAAAAAATCCAAGAAATTATTCAGTATCTAGTCTTCTCTTCCGTGTATGCTTCAAGCAGCACCATATCCCAGCACCATACAAATAAAACACCGTTAAAGCATTTCATAGCTACTCTCCACTCCATTCTGTTTTACACATTGGACCAGGTGCAAATGAGAATGGAAAGTGCAAATAATCTGTAAAACATCAGCACATTGTCTTGTCCGCTTCACAGGAGGTAAAGTGTTGGGCAGTCTATTCCTTTCCCTCTCTCTCAAATTCGTACAGACACAGCAAACTTGAGAACTGCTTGATGATTCTTGGCTTTACTTCAAGCTGAAGCAAAGACAACTTCGTGCCATTTTTTCTGGCTTGGCTGAAGGAAGTCTTGTGTCATTATTCTACATGACAGCTGATCTATGTTTATGCTAAAGGTTTGAGACGTTTTTGTTTCCTTATTCTGCGTCCAAATGTGCTTGGTGCTTGAAAATCATCTTACTTCTGGTGTCTAAGACAATTCAGGGTCAATGCCTGTGCGTTTTGTTTAGGCAAAAATATGTCCAAGCTTCTAATTAAATCAATATTCTCTTACTTAGGTGATAAACTATTATTTCTTTTCAGGGTTATGAGGACACAGTGGTAAATCCAATAAGAGGAAATATTTTAATGTGCCACTTTGTTCCCTAGTACTATTTCATACCAATCATTTTCCTTTTCATAAGCTTTAAATGAAACCCTGCCTCCATGGAAATCAATGCACATTTTTTGCCAAAGACTTGACACCAGGATTTCCCTTTTTTATATATTCTTCACAAAAGGCCTGATCCTGATTCTGAAAACACTTAAATGAATTAATTAGCTGTGACCCCACTGACTTCAGTGGGATTTGTCATCTGAGTAAAGTTTATTGCTTGCCTAATTTTTTGGAACCCATAGTGAAGACATATGTTGTAAGCAAGTTTTTTGGTGCTGCTTTTTTCTTAAAGAGTGGCTTGTGACTCTCCAATGGGGAACACTTCTTAAAGAAAAGAAAATAGAAAATAGGTAAAGCAAACCTAAACACCAAAAAAAAAAATCAAGACATAATTAGATCTTCTGTAGGACAAGATCTGCAGTGAAGAGATTGCTCAGTGTTAATGGTATTAACTAGGATTTATCTTTGAGTGGGGAAAGCTGAGGGTTTTAATTTTATGTAAAAGGTAAAGACTGGTAGAGTTTTGAAAATAGCAAGTTTTATATTCTTTTCTTTCCCACTGAAATCTTGAGCGCATAAGAAATGAACCACTGCTAAAATCACAGATGCTAATTTTCACAACTGTGACTGAAGTGGTGTTCGTTTCCATTTGCATTTCATTCTAACAATGATGAGAGGTGATGAGTTGATGATAAGCTGTTTTCACCGTACTGCCCGCTGTGCAAATTTATGCTTATAGGCAAAGATGACACATAGTTCTGTCATTAAAGGTCTTTACTGCATTGCCTCTTGAAGAAAGTCGTTTGTCAAAATCCATTTGAACTCTGTTAAATAAACA